CCACTGCACTCCAGTCTGGGCGACAGAGTGAGACTCCAACTCAAACAAACAAACAAACAATAAATAAATAAATAAACATGACCAGGTGCAGTGGCTTATGTCTGTAATCCTAGCACTCTGGGAAGCCAGAGTGGGAGGATCACCCGAGGCCAGGAGTTCAAGACCGGTTTCTCCAAAAAAAAAAAAAAGAAAAGAAACGAACAACAAAAAAAAACAAGCTTGAGCCCAGGCATTCAAGGCTGCAGTGAGCTATGATCATGCCACTGCACTCCAGCGTGGGTGGCAGAACAAGATTTTGTCTCTAAAAAATTTTTTTAAATAATTTTAATTTTTTAAAAATTAAGAGCGAATGCTCACACCTGTGAGGCGATTTGGGAGGCGGAGGCGAGAGGATTGCCTGAGCCCAGGGGTTCGAGACCAGCCTGGGCAATTTGGCGAGACCTCGTCTCTACAATCAATCAAAAAATGAGCCGGGCTTGGTGGCGCACACCTGTGGTTCCAGGTACTAGGAAGGCTGAAGTGGAAGCATCACTTGAGCCCAGTAGGTCGAGGCTGCAGTGGCTGTGAGCGTGCCATACACTCCAGCCTGGACGACACAGAGAGACTCCAACTCAAAAGAATAATAATAAAAAAAGAAACCAAGAACAGCCCTCGAAGTCCCCAGAAAAGACAATGTCTCAAGGAGGAAGGGGAAGCCACAATGATAGGGTCGCTCGCTGACATCCTTCCGGAGTGCTATCACTGCCCAGAAGTCACTTCCACCGCGAGCTTTGCCTGAGACCGAGGGGCAGAGAGCGTAAGGAAGCTTCGTCTTCAGGGATCGTCACTTGCAGGGATCGTCACTTGCAGGGATCGTCACTTGCAGGGATCGTCACTTGCAGGGGCACCCGTGTGCCGTGAGTTGCTGGGGGCTGTAGCGTGTCTTGGTGGACGGAGAAAACCAAGCTGACACGTGAGAACACTTTTCTGAATTTCTGGGAAACTGCCCGAAGATATCTTCGAAGAGAGATACCTGGTTCTTCTCGCCTAGCTTGTTGGGTGTCTTTTCCCATTAAGGACTGTCAAGTTTGTCGAAGCCCTACCGCCGCACAACTCCGATGAACCCCTCGGAAACACAAATGCACGTCTCGTCCCCCGCTCCACCCCCTCCTCTGGCTCCCCAGTGCTGTCAGTGACCACACGGCGCGCCTGCCCGTGGGAAACTCCATTTCCCATCGACCTCTTCGCCGGACACCCACGCTTTCCAGCAAGCCTGACACCGCCCACTCCCAGGATGGCTCCCAGCCCCGCCCTCCTGCCCCTCGGGCCCTGAGTCTCGCCTTACGACCCGCCTTCGGGCCCCGCCTCTTACGTAAGGCGCCGCCCACTCGCCGGGCCTCCGCGAGAGGGCGTGGCTTCCCCGCAATCCTGACGGCCACCATTGGCTGGCCCTTCGCCGGCAGGGCGGGGCTACGGGAGCCGCGCGGGCACCTTCCGAAGT